TTTTTTTTTTTTTTTTTTTTTTACAAAAGCATATTAAACTAATACCGAATTAAAAAATTACTCGATCGATCGTCGATCGTATCTGGCACTGTTTCTTCCCGACGAAACTCGTCGAAGAAACTCGAAAGAACGCCCGGACATCGCGAATTCATCGTTGCTCGACGAACGAATCATTAGGAAAAGAAAAAAGAGAAAGAGAGAAAGAGCGCGATTTACGGGAACAATAGTCTCTCGCAGCTCTACTTTATATTATCACAGACAATCGACGAAGGGCGTTCGTTATGCCCTCGCCACGTTCACGGAATCTTGGTCGGGTTTGGTGGGTAATGGCCTGTTCGCCATCTTGCCCGTTGGAGCGGAGGTTTGCGGCTCGGGTAGTTCGGAGTACAAGTGGGCAGTGGCGTCGGACGGTTCGGCGTATTCGCAGAGCAACGAGTTGGGCCTTTTGTTGTTGTTGTTGTTGTTGTTGTTATTGTTGGCGGTAGTAGTAGTAGTAGTAGTAGTAGTAGTATCGTTGCAGCTCGTGGTCGACTTGGACCCGACTTGGAGGATGCTCTCGCCGAGAGCCTTGAGGAAGCTCATAGGTCTGGCCTGAATTTTCGAAGGGGGCTCGAACTTTGGACTGTCCGCTGGCCTTTCGCGATTCTCGGCCTTGATCATCATCGCGCGACGATGATCGTTGACGAGAAGATGATCGTTGACGACGTCAGGCGGCAACGGTTGAGGCGCTCTCCCGGCCAAGGTCGCGAGGATCGGTCGAGAGAGTCGACTGGTGCTCGGAACGGTTTCGTCGCCGGGCAGCTCGGCGTACAGGTGATTCTGCTCGGCGGCCCTTCGGTCCCGGGGCTCGGTGTACTCGGTGAGAGGGGGCCTGGCCTGTATCCCGCTCGGCAACAGCTTCTCCAACGAGGGAGCTTTCGTGCCCACGCTGACGACGGACGGCTTCGCCCCTCCCCTCGACCTCCTCCGCCTCGGCTCGATCACGTCGTACGCGTTCTCCTCCCCTCTGCCAGGCGCTTGCTCGTCCTCGTCCTCGTCGTCGTCGTCGTTGTTGTTGTTGTTGTTGCAACTCTCCTCCACCTTGATCAGATCGTACAGATGCTCTATCATGTCCCTCGCCTGGTTGTAATTGTCGGGATCGTTCAACCTCTCCCTCAGGTCCCTCAGGTACTCCTCCGTCAACTCCTCGGGCAACGTTTGCGTCGCCTTGTTCTCGGTGTAAGGGTACAACCCTTCGGCAGCCCCCGCCCCTCCCCCGCCCTCCTCCCCCTCCTCCTCCTCCTCCTCCTCCTCCGTTCCCTCCTCCGCGTGGGACGTCTCCACGTCGAGAATCCGCGTCTCCGGTTGAAGGCCGGCGTACTCGTGCACGCTCAACCTGGATATCGACCTGGCCGAGGTGGCTGCCGTGATTCCGCCGCTGGCCGACAACCAGCCGGCGAGATTGGCGAAGGGGCCGGACGTCAACTTGGGGCAGACGCCGCTTCGACGCATGTACAATATTCCGGATGCGAGGATGACAACCAGGACGACGAACACCGCCACCACGCATATCACAACGATGATCCTCTTCTCGCGTTGCAATTGCTCGGAATCGCTCATCTCAACGTCGAAGTAACCCTTGTGCCTGGGATAGACGTGGGGGCCGACGCTCGGCGGGCTGACGGTTGGCTCGGGTTTCGCGGACGGTTTCTCGCAAACGATGTGATCCCCGGGCGCGCAAATGATCCTCGTGAAGTTTCTCATCGACATGTAGCCCTGGGGTAGATTGAAACACTTGTCGAGAAGTTGATCGACCACGCAGAAACTCGAGTCCATCATCCACGAAACGGAGCTGTTCTTCCCCGTCACATCCCGTATCCAATCGTCTAGGCCGCACCTGCACTGCTCCTTGAAGTAATTGTTACCTACCCTGGCCGTGTTCACCCGTTGAGAGATCGCCGCGAATCTCAACGAGCCAGCCCTCGCCTTCTCCACGTGATTCCCCGTGAAGGAGAACTCGAAGTTGGGCGCCGAGGTCGCGTCCACCTCTGCCGTGATCGCGTCCGTCTCCAACTCGACGAACAGATTGTAATCGATGGCTATGTGGTTCCACTGGTGGAGGACGATCGCGCCTTGGTGCAGATTCAGGAACTCGTTGTTGTTGAAGCTGACGGTGGCGGCGGATATGTCGATAGCGCCGGTATCCACCTCGGACAGCCTGCGAACGCGAGAGGAACGTTCTGAATTCTTTGGGAAAAGGAAAACGGAGCTCGTCTCGCTTCGTCGTCGTACGATACGTAATTAATTTTTCTAAAGATAAAGATTGGAGAAAATGGTGGGGATTTTCTTTCGTATCTTTCGGTTTTCGAGCGATCTTTCGGTTGTAACGACGATCGCAAGGAGGAACGCAAACATGGGAGATCTCTCTGATCAAACAGCGAGCGAGCGAGACAAAGGGAAACGAGGGCCTCTACCTTGAATATTGTACGGTGAGGTTGTCGTGGCCAGCCCGGAAGGCTCCTCTCTCTATACTCTTCAATCTGACGTCGACGAACTCGAGGCTGTGGATTAACGCTCTGTCGCTGAACGCCCCAGTCTCGATCTCCAGGATCGACGCGTTGCTTATGGTCACGCTGAAGATCGTCATGGCGCAGAAAGCGTTCTTGCGGATCACCTTTGTCCAGATATCGTCCATGCGGACCTCTGCAACCGCCGATGGGAACACCGCTGTCGGCAACTCCGTGATTCTCACGCTTTGGAACATAATCTGCGCAAAGGGAATTCGAGAAATGGAGATTATCGTTCGAAACTGGCCAGCCACTACACATTCCAAATTTTCCCAAGCGCCTTGTCGCCGTGTTTGTTTACCGTCGAATCTACCGAGGGGTAGAAATAAACAAATCATTTTTGTAAACGTGCAGATGAAACGTGTATATATAAACTTAAGATTTAAGAAAAAAAAAAAAAAACAAAAATCTGATCAACGCGATAGATGACCTTGGTCGCTGGTCCATGCCTTCCGTGTTGAGAAGCTTCGAGTTTGAACGCATTGCTGGACAGCTCGAGGGTCGGCACCTCCCTGACGGTGATCCAGAGCAGCCTGGAGAAGGCGTTCGGCTTGATCCCTACGTTTCTGCATCTGGATATCGAAACGCTCAGCGTCCCCCGCGAGTTCCTGAACGCGTGGCTTTCCAGGATCACGCTGTTGCACTCGGACACCTCGAGATGCGTGTTAGGGGCGCTCAAGTTCTGGAACGCCTGTCTCTTTGCCACCAGGCTGTAGATCCCGGACACGTGGACGCGTTTCAAAGGTGCTCCGTCCGCGAAAGCGCCCGACTGGATCCTCAACTCCCTGCAATGAGAGACCTCGACTTCCATCGCCTCCGACGGAATCGTTCCCTCCAGTAATTCCACGTCCTGACGGCCGTAAAAAGGAAGAAAAGAAAAATGGAATTATAACGTTCCATCGGTGACAGATATTTCTTTGTTCTTAAGTGCTAAGGGAAGAGGCTGGAGAAAAATGTTTTAGGAGAGATCTTATTCTAGATCTTGAGTGGGAAAGACACGAGTTGAAACGGCAGGATGGATATAAATTGTACGTATTTCTACGGGAATGCGAGAGGTGACGCGATCGCAGCGTGATCGTTTGATGCGTGTTTCGCAGGCAGATTAAAATGCAAGGAAAAAATGTAGAGTTTATATCGGATCGGACGACGCGACGGTTCGTACATATTTGCCAAGAACCGAATAAAAAAAAAAAAAAAAAAAGGAGGGTGGGGGGGTAAAATCGGGATGACCTGTAATTGGGTGCGCGTCGAACAGAGGAGAGTTGAGAATATTTCCATTTTTATTGGCGCTACAGATGACGATGGTCTCCCACCGCGGCGGAGGAGAGGAGAGAAGAGTTGAATTTCAACCGTCATAAAATTTATGTAATTGCAAATATCATCCCTCTCGATGGGATAATGCTACACCTCTCGCCCTCTCGTAATTCCGCAACGGTGAAAAGAGAGGAAAGAAATGGAGGGGAAGGGGGAGGAGGAGGAGGAGAGTAGAGAGATTTTAATAGACTCCCTAGAATAATTTCTCGGAATAATTTGCGTGTTACGACTCGGGCGGCGATGAATAATAATTAGATAGTTAAAAATCTCCATTGAATGAAACGGACGTCCTTTGCCCTGTGTCGCGTTTGAAAATCAACAAGTGAATTTCTATTAGGTTGAATCGCGGAGAGGCAACTGGAACGGCAAACTGGATGGAAAAAACGAGTGGTAAAAAAAAAAAAGGAAAAAAAAAAAAAAAAAA